AAAAAAAAAAAAAAAAAAAACATGAGAAAAATGAAGAAAAACAAAGAAAACACCAAAATAACAAAATAACTAGAAAAACACGAGAAACGATTTGGGAGACCGGAAAAACCTTAGAAACGACCTAAAATGGGTCAAAACAAAAACAAAACGCCAACAAAAATTGCAACAAAAATAGGACAAACAAGTTTGATTGATTTATATTTAATTCTTATAAAATGGAAATGTTACAGTTCATTTTCATACTTATTGTCTTGTTGTAGATGTTTTCTTTCCATTTATAAACTACTGGATGTTTATTTATGACATCCATCGACCACAAATTTTGTGACACCTTCTTTTCAGAATATTCTTCTTAGAGAGGGAGTGGCAATTGTATGTGAAAAGATTGAATAGTTATGTTTGTTGAAATAGAAATGACTGGAATTAGAGAGAGTGGTTTTTCAATGGTTTCAAAACTATTATGGTTACTGAACTAGACCGGAATCATTGATAGAGCTTATTTACACCTCTCTGTCTCACTTGACGTCGTTTCATTTTGGTTGAACTTTTTTAAATGCATAGAATCTCGAAAAAATGCAGAGACTAAACGCTCACTGTTTAGTTGTTGTCCAAACCATTTTTTCCACATTTTTATTGCTGATAATTCGACATGTGTTGTTGAAACAGGGGAATTGAGATTACCGAAGCATTGCGGTTGCAGATGGAAGTATGAATACTTTTGCTCCATATAATAATTCTGAACACAGCAGCATGTTTAGGAGTCTATCCCGAACACAATTACTTCAAATTTTATTAAAGGCAATGGATAATAATAAGTCTATTGCTTTCCTTTTTTGGTGCATGTTAAAACTTTTTTTTTTACAAAGAAAGGAGACCGTAGCCTCTAGATAGTGGTATTACGTGGATAAGCAACGCCAAAGACGTCATGTGTTAACCACGGCTTGACTTCTATCGGTGGATCAAGTAATCTCTGGCAACCATTAGGACATGAGTAAGCTAACATCGCCAAGCAATCCGCAGCAAAATTTGCTTCACGATAACAATGCACAATGCGCACTTGCCACTCTCGGAGCAAAATCTCACGAATAGCCCGAACTATAGCGCCATGCACCCCCCCAACCATTAGGTGCATGTTAAAACTTTCTATCCCTACAAATGGCAGTGAGTTTAATCTTACTATAGCAACAAAATATCGAAAAACAAGAAATACATATAAATTATGTAGAAGATGAATGCCATTGTTTCTGTTCTTCTATATTTTTTCATGGCTTTCAAAGTACTGATTATCATATCTGCAGCCCTTGGAAACAAACATGGTGAGTTAGACAATATATTGTACATATAGTGACATATAATCTCTACCATTAAATTTGATGTAGAAATTAGAATACACATTTGTAGAAGTGCTTTTAATTCATCAGAGCTTTCAATTCATGAAGTGAATCCTGATGTCATACTCTGCAGATTCAAAGGAATCTACAGCTTCGCATAGAAGAACAGGGACGATATCTTCAAATGATGTTCGAGAAGCAGTGCAAATCTGGAATTGACTTAGTCGAAGGGTCATCTTCCAAAAATGAAAACAGTCTTTTGAAAGAGTCAGATAGATGCAGTCCAGAATCTGCCTGACAAAGATAGCTTATTAAAAAATGCTGATGAAAATGAAAAAGCAGTCGAGCTTGAAAATCCCCATGCAGGTGTTGGTGGCACATTCGAAGTGCCACCAACAAAACGCGCAAGGGTGGATGAGTAGGCTGAATGGCCCTTCATCGATTAGGATCTCCTGTGAAGGCTGAAATTTTTTTAATCTATTTCTCACTTTGGCATATTATAGGGCATGAGCTCTTGTTTTTCCTCCGGACTTAGTTTAGTTATTTAAGCAAACAAGTGCCTTTGTAGTCTCGTATAACTTGAATTTTTTCGGCATGTAGTTTTTGAACTAGGGACATGGGAGATTTTGCGGAAGTTCGTTTGGGAAAACGAAAGCCAGACCTGTGTTTTTGTCGATCCAACTTCAATTTTTCCACTGAATCTGTCTGCAACACAAGAAAGAACAAATTTTCTGGTAAAATGGGAGAAATGGAGAGAGAAAAAGAAAAAGAAAAAAAAAATTATTCATTAAGTGGGTCAACCCGCCATACTACATAAATACATACAGTATATTATATTATTAAACCTGATATTTATATTTATGTTGTTTCATATATAATTTTAATGAAAAAATATGTATAATTTTTTTTAAAAAAAATAGCTATATGACTTAATTGTTATCTCGAAATGTTTTCTATTGAAAATATTATTTATTTATATATATATATATATAAAAAAAGTATGTGACTATGTGAGTTAATTGT